TTGGCATTTTAGAAAGTAAGTAGTTATGGACAACTTGCCTCCTCCGAGGAATGATGAGATTCCGGAAAGGGCACGTTGAGCTGTAGAAGGTTGCCGACGTATGTTGGATCCACGGACATGATTCGTAACGGCATTGTCATCAACAGACTGAGAGACGACGACACCATCCTGCGCTGAAGCTGCTGATCCACCAGCTCCTGCAGCACCTGCAGCGTAGCGAGATGATGACGAATGGAGGGTTGCCAAGGAGCGATGGCAACGACTGTGACAGAGCATCTGATACACCGGCTGAAAAAGGAACATCACATAGATTACAATGCAGCCAAAACTCAATGTGTAGCCAAAACATCCAACTTACTTTCTTTAACAAGTTTGCGGATAGAGTTTGACAGTAATCCGATCAGCCCATTCTCTCCGGGCTTATCAGCGGGAAGTGGAATCTGTCCGCCAGCTCCGTCATAAGGGCCAGGATTTCGAGCTTCATTTACAAGTTGACTAATTTGGTCTTGGAATTTCGGGTTAGCTTGTGCAAGGACATCTGTAATAATGTTATCGGTCAATAAGAATGTACATTCAAAAAAAGGAGCACAATAATTACTGACCTGACTGGGTAGGAGCTGCATGAGCCACAGCATTTCCAGTCAGATGCTCTGCGGGTAGACCTTGAACGGGAATTCCAGCTGCCCGTAGCTCCTAGAATCCCAATGAGCTTGTCAGGTCTCACTTGGCTAGCCTTCACTTTGGACTAATTCTGGCTAAAGAGTAATTTACCTGAACAGCTCCAGCAAATCCATTAGGATGATTTCCAGTAAGACCAGGAATTCCAAATGAATCAAGTCCAAAGAACTTGATCAACTGGTTTTGGACATCTGGAGGAATTGTGACTGGAGGTGGTGGTGGTACGCTGCCGCCTGTTCGCGGTACGAACTGCTGGCTACCGGGTGGTGCTGTTTGCTGAAGTACTGGATGTTGTGGTGATGGTGGGGATGGAGGTAACGGCTAAAAAATACGGTCTTGTCACAAATACAATAATTTTTAGGGAATAGTTAGAAATAAACCTGTTGTGCTACAGTTGCCGCAGGCGCGACAGCATTTGGTTGTGGTGCCGGCGGCACAATCGGGGCTTGAACAGCTCGTGGAGCTGATACCTGAATAGATCGGGGGTTCTTCAAAAGTCGGGTAATTTCAACAAGTTAGTTACAAACCTCGGAAAGGAACCTGGGCTTAGTAGACATTGGATGAAGTCGAATAACGACAGGTTGTGTGGGATCATCCTGTGCAAGTGCTTGCGTGACTACGGCTAGCAAGCCGATGACGGCGGTGATAATCGGAGTTGTCATCGAAACGGCGACTGATACAGCTGCTGCTTTGGTGGTGGTCTGTCTATAGCAGGAATGTGAATCTCCGAAGCGTTGAGGGTGGGATCGGGAGGTGAACGACAACTGGGCGGGTCAAGGCCCAGCGCCCCGAACCCACCGGACCGGCCTCTGACCTACTTCGCTCGCCCTTTCCGAAATAGCACCCCCTTCTGGACAACGATATTCAGGTCATACAGCGACACATTCGATGATGCAACGCATTTGCTTATCTTGTTGTGGATCTCAGGCGATATTTTCGCCCGAGATCAGTTAATGAACGCATCACGGAAGTGCAATGAGAAATTTAACGCTTGGGCCATAGAGTACAGATTATTGATTACTCGGCAACTTATTACTATATTGTGAATGAATCACATACTACAGTTCTATAACATATCAAGGGGGTTTTTCGAATGGGTATAGTTTAGTATCCCTTTTGCGCCCTAAACACAAGAAGGAAAAGACGAGACAGACCATGCCATCAAAAATTAAATCTATTGCTGTTGAGATGGCAAATAATTAAAAATGCTCTACGTAATTTCGGGCCAATTTCTGTTTAGAGGAAAATAGAGAAGAAATAATGCAGCGCAAATAAAAAAAACCCTTGCAAAGCCGACCAAGTGAATGGTCGTCCTTTAGTGAAGCTTCGAACTGGAACATGTCTATATATGTAGTGGCATGCGCAACGTTGAAGTGTTCGTGCCTAGAAACCTGCTCCAAATCCTCCGCCATTGGACGAAATACTTCTCACCTTGGTCAAGCGCAGCCAGGTAAAAAGCTGCAAAGGTTTTCATTAGAAGTCTAT